GCTCAGCTAATTCATCTGTTGGACCCAATAAAGGAGGAGCAGCAGCACATGTCTCTGCACCTGAAGCCTCTGATTCATTAGCAGGAAACTAATTCACCAGAAGACTTGGTCCGGCCTCGTGACCGCTGAATTTAACGGCCTCAGTCAGAGTGGCAGCTGAGCCTACGTTTGTTTTCATGTTGACACTTCGTGAACCTGCCTGAGTAAACAACAACAACAACAACCTGAGGTGGGCTCCAGTCCTCAACACAATCTAAAAACACAGATGAATCTGAAGTGTTTCCACTTTCTTCATAAGTTATTGAGATGATTTCTAACGAACCCTGAAGCTCCGATCCACTTGTTAAAACGCTTCACGATACAAAAACAACGTTTGTAAGAAAACACTAATAAACGTGTTTTGGAAACAAATGCCCAAAATGACAGACAACAATAAGACGAGCTTTTCTAAACGAGCGGCTCGTGCGCGGCTCGTGCGCGGCTCGTGCGCGGCGTACTGAGAAGCATCATGTCTGAAACAACAAACTGGTTCTGACAGTCAGACAACAGCTGGTGAGGCACGGCTACAAACAAACAAACAAACAAACAACAGAACTATAAAGGCAAGCTTCACTACATCAGTAACCTCAAAATCTAAGATGATTAAAATTGATCTCCTTCATTTTTCCATTCTCATGTTAATTTGTGTTGAGCCAAAACATTACGACCGCCTGCTGAAAGGCTGGGGGAACTTCAGTGACCCAGAAAGACGTTTCTCTTCCCTCCTTGGTTCAGAACTGGAGTTCTGACTTCAGACTGGATCAGAAGCTGTTTGAGCAGCTTCAAACCAGAACCACCACATGCTCGGGTTCTGACCTGAGAGAAGACAAACGTCCAGCTCCAGAGGAGAAGTCCAGATGTTCTGATTTTAAAACTTTACTTCTGCATCACCTGGATAAACACAAAATGACTCGAGACATAAAAAAACTTTGTTTTGTTTGTTTTGCTCTCCGAGGTCTTCAGTTCAGGATGAATTAAAACTTGTTAAAAATGTTTCTCCTCACCTGGACCGGACCCGCAGCGGATCACAAACTCAACTTCTAGATAAAATATAATTAACGAGCGTTTGTTTCTAAAACTGATCCGGTTTTAAAGCAGAACATGTTGGACAGAACCTGAACACAACGTGCTGGAAGCTTCACTCACTGTAGCCCATCCCCTGCACGAAGTACTTGAAGGCCTCGGCCAGTTTTCCAGGCTGCAGACAGAGAAACTCTTTTCACTTTAGTTTCTGATGAACTTCTTTAAAAACATGAAGCGATTTAAGCTGCATCAGCTGATGAAGAGGAGGAGACTCACCTGAACCACCTGTGGAAGTCCTCCACAGTCCGCCATCTAGTGGACAAACCAAGAACAACATGGAGCCAAACATCAACATTTATTTATTCCATTAACTTGTTTCATCACATTTCTGTCAAAACATTTACTCTGGTCCTGAATCTGACCCGACTGAAGGAGAACTAAACGTTTACAAGATCAAACAACACACTTTAAATTTATTGTTCAATTTAAAAAACTGTTACTATCATCATCATCATCATCATCATCATCAGGTTTTTGGGAACATCTGGTTCATATCAGCGTCTCTGACCAAAGTGGACTCAGTTTCACCTCCTTTCAGCTCGGACGTTAAAAATACAGAGGAAGCACAAGATGAGAGACGGGCGAGGGGACAGAGGAGGAGACAGGTGGGATGGACAAAGGAAGAGAGGTGGGATGGACAAAGGAAGAGACAGGCGAGGGGACAGAGGAGGAGACGGGCGAGGGGACAGACCAGTACCTTGAGCAGGGTGGTCTTGGTGGGATCCAGTCTGGAGTTACACTCCACCTGCAGAACAAACATTTCAAACAGGAAGTTAAAAGAATCTAGAAGTTTCTGACGAGCTGCTCTGGACTCGAGATGTTGAATTATCTCAGGAAGTCCATCACGGAGCACATGATCCACAGCTGAAGCACCTTCAGCTGATGTTATTGTATAAACCAGGTCTCTCTTTAAAGGAGTCCCTGAGGCTCAATGAGACGAACCTGGATAAATAAAGGTTGAATGAATCATCGTAGATTATAAAATAATTTGTAGGTTTTGAAATATTCTGCTGTTTGTGGAAAAGAATGAAAGAAAGAAGAACAGCTGTAAACACGTTGAGCCGATCAGACAGATTCTTTTCTTCTCTCCAGAGTTTAAACTGAAGCTCTCGTTGTTGAGCTCGTCAGCTGAAGATTTATTATCGGATCATCGTGACCAGAACCGGCTGGTGTCAGGACGCTCGTCTCTTGAAGGCTGCAGCTGCTGGAGACGAGCCGACGGTCGCAGCTCGGTGAGACACGAGCAGAAAGCTACGATTAGCTGCGCACTGTTTGGACACGCAGCTCGAGGCCCAACAGAACCGAGGCACGTGGTGCTGGACTGGACCAGACACCGTTAAACACTAGCTGTGAAAGGTAACAATCACTGGAGCCCCGAAGAGTTTGTACCGATTAATGTTCGAGGGTTTCTTTTATTAGATCACTACTGTTACATCACTTCCTGCTGTCGCCATGGAAACAACTCACCACAGCATCGACTGCAGGCGACGTGTCTCCAACCACGAGCAGAGAGGGACACCTGAGGAACACAAACAATCAGAACCAGCGACAGGAGGAGTGAGACAGAAAGGAGTCGTTTACAGGAGGAGAGGAGTGAGACAGGAGGAGAGGAGTGAGACAGGAACACAGGAGTCATGTGGCAGGGAGAGAAGCGTGAGACAAGAAGAGAGGAGTCATTTACAGAAGGTGAGACATAACGAGAGGGGTGAGAGAGGAAGAGTCATTGTACCTTAGAGTGCTGATGAGGTTTTCATTGAGACCAAGGACGGGACGCTCCACCTGCAGCTCGGTCCGACTAACACACACACAGACACACACACATTAAGTACCTGGCTGTAAGCAGCTCCTCCTCAGGTCTGAGGCGTCTCACCTGTCGTAGCTGTTGTAGAACATGGCCACGTTCTCCTGCAGGATGTCCTGAGAGATGTGGAGTCTGTACGTCTGGATGACCTCTTTGTTCTCTGACAACTCTCCCTACACACACACACACACACACACACACACACACACACACACACAGGAAGTGTGTCAGCGAGGACCTGGTGTCCCTGTAAGACATAAGCAGCTGTGTGTGTGTGTGTGTGTGTGTGTGTGTGTGTGTGCTCACGGTGCTGAAGTGGTGTCCCATGATGACGTCCACCAGGTTGCTCGTCCAGCCGCTCAGCTGTCAAACATTTGATTTGGACTTTTACAACAGATAAATCTGATGGTTGAACTGGCTGAACTCATCATGCTGTGGTTTACCTTGGAGGCGGCCCAGTCCACCCAGCCTTTAGCACACGGGTCAACGTTGATCAGAACCAAACCTTCCACCAGACTGGGCTCGTTCAGCTGAAACAACAAACATCACATGACAGGCCTCACGTCTCGTGTGAGCTGCTGGGAGGAGATATTTTGCTGACATGCTGGGAGGAGATATTTTGCTGACA